GGGGGCGCGCAACAAAGGATAGGAAAGTTCTCTATTCTGATCTGTTTCACTTCACTTTGTTGCTACAAGGTCTTATGTAGCCCAGGCTGGTGTTGAACTTATGTTCTCCTGACTCTACCTCCTGTGTACTAAGATTATACATCTGGCACCACCACATCTGGCTTTTTATTCATTCAGTACCCCTATTTTGGCTTTATCAATTGTGAGTGTACATGATCTTGGATCACTGAAACCATTGTGGTGTAACCTATCATACATGCATTGTATGTGCCAATAATTTCAAGATGCATGGTATTTGAATGATAATGTTGAGTTAAAATGCTTCTTAGTTAACTCTTCCTTCATTTCTCTGTCCTTTTAAACCCGAGTGATTCAACATTTTCTTTCTGTGTAACATTTAAAAAATAAGGCCAGTTATAGTGACTTACACCTATAATCCCGGCTCTGTATGGTAATGGAGAGATGAAAGCTCACTACAAGTTCAAGGCCAACTTAATCTATGTAGCAAGCTTTAGGTGATCCAGGTCTATACAAGACCCTGTCTCCCAAACAAAACAGCTGTAATACAAAATAATAACCAATGCATTTGAGGGAGCATTCACAAACAAGGACATCTTGCTTGTTCTATGAAGAATATACATTTTTTAAAGTATATGAATACTTTAGCTCAGCATAAAGAATATGGAAAGAATACAGGAAACCATACAAAGAAGAAATTAGAAAACTAGAGAGAGAATACTGTGGATCCTATCCGACAGCAAATGAAAGAGGGCCCAACAGTATGCCCAACATAATACACAGCCAAATAACCCCAAAATTTCACCATGCAGATTTGATGACTCTTCTCAAATAAATAAATCTCAAAGTGATCCCACTAGATCTGCAATCTATAAGGCATATGTTTCAATAATACTAATGGACAAGATCAATGTATCATAAAGATAGAATGATGCTGGCCATGCAAAATGAAGGCACACACTGTTTCTGAGGACAACAAGCCCAGTAAGTGAAAGGTACTGGAAGCAAGGCAAAAATAATTCATTATAACAAAGGCTTTGCTCCAAGGCCTGACTCATGATTGAATTTAGATGAACCAGGCAGCCAGGTTCCAAGCAAGCAAAAATCAGTCAAAAATGCATATCTTGCTCATTCAGTTAGTCTAAGAAGACATTCCCTTTTTGTAGTCTTAATTGGATAAATTATAATGAGACTCTAAGAGGATATAAAATGAATATGACCATAGTAGTAGGAAAGTAAATTTTAAATATAAAAATAATAGAAATAAGTCTTTTTTTTCTTTGCAGGCATATGTGTATGGTGGAGTGTGTACATTCTTGTGTGTGCACACGTGTGTGCTAGTCACATTCACATGTGGAAGTCAGAGGTTGATGTTGGGTGCTTTCCTTGACTGTTCACCTTATTTGTTGAAGCAGGGTTTCAAACTTGAACCCAGAGTTTGCCAATTTAGCTAGTCTAGCTAGTCAGCTTGCTTGAGGATTGTGTCTCTACCAACTGAATGCTAGGGTTACAGGTGGGCTGCCATGTCCAGGTGGCATTTAAGTGGGTGCTAGATATCTAAACTAACTTTATTCAACAAGCCATCTCATTAGCCAAAGATTTAACTTTTAAACTAAGTTTATGTAAGTTATTTCTAAAATATACTAGTCATTGTATTCAAAAGTTCCCTAACATCAGCCCTACTAAGCCTGTGGTTGTAGTTTGGGTTGTTTGGGGCCAATTAAGTAATTATATTTACAATATATTTTTAAGTGCTGAAGAAAAAATAATTCTCAGGGGGAAAAAAGGGGAAAGAAAAGAAAAAAATAAAGGAGACAAGAGAAAATAAAAGCCAGGTTTATTAGCCCATGATAACATCTGTGAAGCAGAATCGGGATGGCAGGTTGGAGGCAAGTGGACAGAGAAAGAGGCTGGGGCGGGAATAAACTTTGTTTCTCTCCTTTATAATTGACTCAGAAAACCAGTAGGTGGGGCATGAGTGGGGAAAGTGGCTGAAGAAGGGGCAGGGGAGTGGTCAGACTCACGGGACCTGAGGAAATAGAGGCGGCATGGCGCAGGGGTGCTGGCAGCTGGAAATGGGAACCTTATATACTCAAAGGACACAGAAGAGTGTGCTTCCTCAGTTAGAACTGGGGTGTCAGTGTAAACTCATACTCAACACATATAAATACAACCATCAGCAACACACACAGACACACACAGAGAGACATACACACCTGATGAGACCTGGGTACAGCTATAACCCTATAACAATGAAGTCACTTGCAATAAATAACTAGGCAACCTTTATCCCAGATTCTGATTGGGAATTGAGAAATTACTAGAACGTCTAGAAGCAGATAGGGAGATATTGGAAACAACCCTAGTTCAGGAGAAATTGTGGTTGGGAAGCTCATATAACTTCATTATCATAAAACCTGAAAATAAAATACTCTCTTGTCACATCAGTAAATACAGGCCCAGTAATATAATTTTAAAACTTCTTTTAGATATACCAAAGAATATCTAAAATCTTAAAAACTTCCCAGACACTTCATGGCCCTGTCTTCTTTCAAGTCTATTTTCGTGTAAAACATGCTCACAGTGATCCACTTAAGCTGACTTACTGCCTGCCCCCTTGGGAAGTTAGTTATTCCAAGGGGCCAGCTATCCCTCAGATCTTTTGTGGAATCCACCTTCTGTGCTGGTTTTAGAGTCCATAGGACAACCTTAAACAGTACAAATATTTACTCTAAGAGACTTCACAGTGTTCCACTCTACCAACTGAGCTATTGAAGAGAGTTTTTTTTTTTTTGCAGATTTTTTTATTTGAATTAGAAAAAAAGATTGTTTTACATGACAATCCCAGTTCCCTTCTCCCACCACCACCCCAACTAAAATCCTACCCATCACATGTCCTTTCTGCTTCGCCTGGGTGGTGAGGCCTTCCATAGGGCATCATCAGAGTCTATCATTTCCTTTGGGATAGAGCCTAGGCTCACCCCCGTGTGTCTTGGCTCAGGGAGTATTCCTCTATGTGGAATGGGCTCCCAAAGTCCACACCTATGCTAGGGATAAGTACTGAATTACTACAGGAGGTCCCGTAGATTTCCGAGGTTTCCTCACTGAAACCCATGTTCCTGGGGTCGGGATCAGTCCCATGCTAGTATCCCAGCTATCAGCCTGGGGAGCAAGAGTTCCCGGATGTTCAGGTCAGCTGTTTCTGTGGGTTTCAATCAGGGGAGGGCATTTAAGGTAGCCTCTCCTCTGTTGCTTAGATTGTTAGCTGGTGTCATCTTTGTAGATCTCCAGACATTTCCCTAGTGCCTGATTACTCTGTAAACCAAAAATGTCTCCCTCTATTATGGTATCTCCTTTCTTGTTATTTTCTTTTCTTCCCCTGACTCAACCTTTCTGCTCCCTCATGTCCTCTGCATCCCTCCTCTTCTCCCCTTCTCATTCTCCTAGCTCCCTCCCCCCTCTTCCCGTGCTCCCAATTTGCTCAGGGGATCTTGACCCTTTCCCCTTCTCCAGGGGACCATGTATGTCTCTCGTATGGTCCTCCCTGTTTACTAACTTCTCTGGCAGTCTGGATTGTAAGCTGATAATCCTTTATGTCTAAAATCCACATATGAGTGAGTACATACCATGTTTGTCTTTTTGTGATTGGGTTACCTTGCTCAGAACGGTTTCTTCTAGTTCCATCCATTTTCCTGCAAATTTCAAGATTCCATTTTTTTTTCCCGCTGTCGGAGAGAGTTCTAAGGAGTCCAAAGACCAAGAGTCCAAAGGTACTAAAGGTTGAGTAAGTGACCAAAATTTATAGTTAGAAAGTAGAAGTATATTGTGTAGATATTTTCTACACAATGCCTTCCCTCCTGAAGGCATATTTGTATTAAAAAAAAAAAACAACTTTCATTTTTTTCTATTTGTGTGGATTGAACTCAGAGCCTTAATGCAAGCTACATTGTATTAATGCAAGCTCTACTTATGTAGAGCTCTTACAGGTTTCTAAAAATATGTATAATATCTAATACAATGTAAATATTTTGTAAATTAATGACATAACAGTATTGTTATTCACAAAATAAGAAAAACCCATATGTTCAGTTCAGACACAACGTTTCCTCCCTGCCTTCTCTTTCCCCTCTACACCCTTGTCTGCAGTGATACCACTTCCCCCTTTTCATCCTTCTCAGGCATCCTTCTGTCTTCCTCACACTGCTGCTTACAGACCCCCTCACACACACCATGTAAGACTTAGAGGAAGTAAATGAAACCCAAGTTTCCCCTCCAAAGTTGTAACTAACAATTGCTGGGGAGCAGAAACTCTCCCTTCAGCAGGTGCAGCTTTTGTGAGTCCTCATGTGAGGTGGCTTTTCAATGCTGCTTTCTGTTGAGTCACTCATTTTCCTGTACTGAACCCCGACAAACGCCCTGGTTCACTGAGCCAGACATGGGGAGAATTGTTTCTTCAGTATTCCTCAGTGCCTCAACTGTGTGGAACGGACATTCATTTCCATCTCCCCAGAAAATGCCACACAGTAAGGCAGGAAATGCCACACAGTAAGGCGTTAACTGTCAAGGAGGGAGATTTGAACCTCCCAACTATTCTAAACAATAGTATAATACAGCCATGTGTATAGAGTTTACCCAACTCACTTCTTTGAGGGTAGTGCTCATGTAACTGAGTAGGAAAACAACAACAAAAAGCAGAATTAATAAAAATGTTACAATTCACAAGTCTAAAAATCTGGCCTTCCAAAAAATGTACCTTCCACTGTCTTAGTGAGCTCCTTACAATTCTGACTATTGTGACCTGGAGGACAAATGGCTACAACCATGTAAGTTTTCAGAATAAACAGACACACAGAGAGGAGACATACCTGATGTCAGAGAACTGTCACCCGGGGGAGACTTGGAAGCTATCATTCAATCTCTGAACTGAACAATACCACCCCCAGGTCTACATATCCACTAGAAACAATCAGACAAACATGGTGTGTGGTCCAAGCATTGGTGATTTTTATTAAGAATAACTTTGGTTCTAAGAATTCCACCCTCGATTCTGTAATACTTTCCATAAAAAAAACAATTATACAAGAGCAAATACAAAAAATATTAAATTATGAAAACAAATCCATTAAGGCTCCCTTTATATATATTATGTACACTCAAACAGGTCGAGATTCTCAGAGTAGAAGAATAAAGTCAACTGTTATAGCTTAGAAAGCAAAACTACTTTACTAGCAGGAGACTACAAAACACATGTCTATCTTAAGAAAACTACAGAATGGAAAAATGGAGCCTTTTTTTCTCCCCTAAAAGTGGCTCAAAGCACAACACTGCTCAGATGTTGACAAGTCCTCGGGGTTTGGACTATACAGTGTTAGGAGCAAAGAAAGAGTGACAGCATTTTAAAATGCAGGCTCCTGAGCTGATGTGAGCAAGTGACTCCTAAAAGCCTCACTTCCTCACTACCTATGTGGTCTGGGACCCAGCAGAAGCCATCACTTCATGCCATTCTTAAGTCCTCTTTTGGCCCGACCCCATAGCGCTAACCACCAAGGAATATCACAGGTCTGAATGCAACCAGGAAAGACATGTTTGTAGTTAACCTTTCCCCAGTGGTGTATGAGTTCCTTCGTCCTAGGAACAGAATCACCCCTGTTCTTAAGGAGCTGGTGATGGCCCTTGAAGATCCTGTCAAGCAGTGGAACTGTTTTCAGCATACACATCCAAGAGCTAATTTCTAGTCAGAAAGAAAGGTATGAGCCAGTCCTGAGTCTTCACCCTAACACCTGACATCATTACTCCATATACACAGAGAACAATCAGTATGCATTGGAGGCTTTTTTTCCAACAATCAGGAATGACCTTTCCTTTCTCAAAAAGAAGGAAGATGACAAAGTAGTCACCATTCTAATCTTCAAACAATTTTGTCTTCAGCATCTCATATTTTATTTAGATGACACTTTGTGATAAGACCAAGAATCCATTTCCGCTGTAATCAACTCTCACGTTTCTCTATGTAGCAGTGAATTATCATCCATTTACTTCGTAATCACACTTGGATAGAACATGGGCCTGTTAACTGGCAAACTGAAGTGTTCCCAGTGAAAGCTAGTGTCTAGTGTGCTAATCAAGGGTTCCAAAGTACTACATCCAGCATTGTGTGCATCATGAAAGGAAAAACAAGTCTGCAGTGTAGAAATTACTGGCTAAATCATCTCTATGGAGAAGTACTAAATAAAAAAGTGATCCCATGCCTGCAGTATAAAATATATTTTGCATGAGAACTTTCATATTATTTGTAACTTAGATGTCTCTTTGAACAGCATGCTAGCTAGCATGAGGAAACTGAGCAGCTCTGCCCGGCACCTCAGCTTTTCCTGAGAGATGCAACACAGTAGTCAAGACCATCCCTACCAACAGCGTCATGCTGAGAGAGCGCAAAAATAGTCATTCTTCACAAGAAACAAAAGGGGAAAGAAATTGTGTGATCATTCACCAGAAATGTCTCAAGCTATGAATCTAAGATACTCAAAATGTAAAAAGGATAAAGCCCTCCACTAAAGCCTCCTAGAAATGGATCTCTATTTGCATTACATACAGTATCTAATGGCCCCATCACTCTGTCTTCATGGACACCCCTCTATACTGCTCTCAGGAGAACTCAAAAGATCTGGCCTCTCTATGAGACACAGAAGCTGAGTAACACCCTCTAGTTTAATCCTCCGAAAGAACTAAGGAATTACTTTATTTAAAAAGAATAGTTGAGCAAGAAATGACAAACTAACACTGAACAGAAAGGCTCTGGTTATCAAAACAATAAAGGAATAGACATGATGTACCTTTTTGAAAGTGGAAAGTCAACATGTAACATGTCATACTGAGAACATAAAGAAATTATAGTAAGTTCATAATGGGTATTGAGTTTTTAAAACTGATAGGGTTTCTAAATTTCAGTGTCACCCAAAGTAATAGGTATGATTAAACATAAATGTTAAATGCTAACATCTTCCATTCTTAATTTGTAATGTGGGGGGAATATACATTAAACTAGAAAAGTCTGGGTTCTCAAAATGAAATACAAATACTGGATGTAACAGATGAAATACATTTTGATGCAATCAAAATGATCTAACAGCTAACCAAAGGATTCCACATGATTTCTTTAGTTTTTAAAAGAACAGGGCTCTGTGTTCCACTAAACTTGGAAGAAAAGCTGAGTAGCGCAACCCTCAAGCGTTATTCCAGTGTCCATTTCCTAGTGCGGTTTGCTTGCTTTTGTTTTGCTTTGTCTCAAGTCTCTAATCACAGGTCCATGATAACTTGTGTGCTGGTCACTATCTTTCATTTGGCGAATGGGAATTGCAACTGTCAAAGACAATTCATCTAACTTTATATTAAATCAAACCCGATCTTTTTGATAATCAATTCTCGGCTGTCTGGATTCTCTTCCTCAGGACTTTGGCCCAAGATGAGCGCTGCAGAAGTACCTAGACATGGCTCCTACAGCAACAGGGGGACACGCCAGGTCACAGGCAGCCTGGACCTAGGACTCCTGGGCTTGGGCCACCTCCTGGCCTGTTCTCCTGAGATTGCCTTTCACCTTCACAAATTCCGGGGCGTTTTCTTGCTCTTCTTGCAATTTCTGCTTCTCAAGTTCAAGCTAAATGAATTTCAAAAATAAGAAAATTATTTATGTACTGGGAGGCTTTTTAAGAGAATCCCAACTTAAAAAAAAAAAAAGATTTGTACATAACTTCAGGAATTTTTAATCTGTGCAGAAGCATGAGCCCTATATATGTTGCCACAAACCATACCAAGAGGTGACCAGAAGAACAACAACATGCTTGGCTCAGCATACAGTTGCTCTTGAGTCTTTCTCAGAGAAATCATATTAAGTTTGAGTAGAGAGATATTTCTTCTTTTGGTGGATGTGTGTAGGTGCATTCATGTGTGTCTGTGTGTGATGTGGTATGCATGTCTGTGTGTATATATGTTCACATGAGCATGTGTGTGTAGATCTGTGAAAGGCTGAGGTTGACCTGGATAGTCTTCTTCAATCACTATCCACCATATGCTTTTGAGGCAGGGTCTCTCAGTTGAACCCAGAGCTGATCAACATGACTAGTCTACCTAGCTGCCTTGGTCTAGGATCCCTTGTCTACTTCCAAATCCTGGAACTACAGGCTTGCTGCCAGGACACATCCACCCCACATTTACATACATTATGGGGATCTGAATTCAGGTCCCACTGCTAGCACATGCTTAACCCACAGAACATTCTTCCCAGCCCCTCTGATTTGCTTTGGCCTCTAGTGCCTCTTTTAGGTTCCTAATAGAACTTGAGTGTCTGCCTCGAATGGGATTTATGCCTTCTGCTCTATTTGCTTCTTGTTTTTCTCTCAGGGTACACACATGCACATCTGGCCTGCTGGAATTCTGTTTGCCCAGCGTACAGCAACCTCACTTCTCAGAGCTAGACTGCTTTTCATCCAAGCCCTACCTGTTCCAACTTCTGCTGCCGCTTTAATAGCTCTATTTCCAGGTCGGATTTCTTCTTCTGCGCTTCTTCCTCCTTTTGCTTTATCACTTGGTCTCGTTTTCTCCTCTCCATTACCTTCTGCAATTCTGGTTTATTCTGAGGGGCAAGACCCCTGCAAAGAAAAAAAAAAGATTGAAAAAAAGTTAGTTTAATAGAAGTACCTCACAGGAAAAGCAATGTAATCAGAGGTACCAGCTGCAGATGTACCTTGCAGCTGGCAAGGAATCAGCCAGACAAGAGTATCTACTACTGATCCAAATGGTTTTCCAACTGTATTCAGACACTCACCAGCATGGAAGAGAAGCCAAAAGCATCTTTCAGAGAGTTCATAAAGTCCATCAACTCAATAAAAACACATTGAAAACCTACTATGTGCAAGACACTATGCTTGCAAAGAAGACCCAGATGACTGGGGAAGGCAGGCAACAGCAAGCCCAAACAGTGGGTGGGGTAGATTGTCACAATAGAGATGAAGATGCCTAGGACACAAAATTGAGTCCACCTGAAGTCACAAACCTCAGCCTTTAATCTCGTGTCCTGAACACAGTTTAGGGATAGACCATCCTGATGGGGCAAGGAGGGATGCCAATAAGGCGTCCGATAAGATAAGTCTTAGCCGGGTGTTGGCGGCGCACGCCTTTAATCCCAGCACTCGGAGGCAGAGGCAGGCATATCTCTGAGTTCGAGGCCAGCCTGGTCTCCAGAGAGAGTGCCAGGATAGGCTCCAAAGCTACATAGAAACCCTGTCTTGAATAACAAACAAACAAAAAAGATAAGTCTTATAAAATATATAGATTGATGATAATTAAGACTGAGCTAACAGATGAAGAATCCTAGTCATTGGCCAAGCAGCTTTGAACCTAATACAAGTTTCTGTATATTCATTTGGGCCCTAACTTGGGCAGGCGGCTGGCATAAAGTGTACACATGGCGGTGGGGCTCGGCGGCTTCTGGCGGAAAGATTTATTGTAACACCATCCTCAAAAAATGGCTGAGAAAATCCCCCACCTTTCATCTTTCAGATTTTTAAAGATACATCCCAGGCTGCTACATTCCTGAGAGAGAAGCTAGGTCATTTCTTCAAATGGGGAAAACCAAAGCTCAATAGATCTCCTGATGAAAATCTTGGGACAAGCTGACAGCAAGACCCATCAGCATGCTCTCAGGTGGTGTTTATAAACCATGCTAGCTCTGATTCACCTTCCCTCTTCCCTTCAGGATTTACCCACCAACCCCAGCTTTCTAAGAGTCTAGATAAACCTGCCCACCTCTTCCTTACATCTCCATATTTACTTCACGCACCCATAATCACCTCTACTTGATATTAAAATGTATTACTACATTTTAAATAAAAATGAAACAACAGAGCAGGAAAAGCACTCCACATCAGAGGCAGAACAGGTGTGTGATAGCTGGTGTACACACTCAGGCTATGACCACACACAACTGCATAGTGATCAGCTTTTCCACGCTCAACACAAGGTACCGGAGGGCCTACACCCTCCCACTGCTGCCTACCTGGCCTGGCTGCTGACTGCTGCTCTGCCCTGTGGGGACAGTAGTCTCTAAGGGTTCTGTCAACTCATACTGACTAATCAATGGGTACTCTCTGCTGAACACCTTTTAAAGAATAATTTCCAAAATGTTATTTTGGTCATTTAACAAAAATCAACAACATATGGAACTCATATGGATTCAATTTCCTTGACAGCCTATGTGCAGTTTTGTTTCTGTTCATTCTTGGTAATTGTGAAATAAACCATAAAATAATAAAAGTAATCTCCTTCCTTTCATTAGAACTTATAGCAATTTTCCTCTAACTAACCACCTGATAATGAAAATAGGGAAAGGAGAGATTATGTGTTATTTTAACAGTGCATTTATTATCAGAGGTGGAATATACCAAATCCTCATTCTCTAAACACCACCACACAAGTCAGGACAAACCGGTCTATATTTCACACTTCCTAGAAAATTACACACACACATACACTTGATTCTGGCATCTCTCCTACTGAGATTTTTTTTATCACAATAAAAATTTTGAAGTCATTTATTTCATCATTACCAAGAATGAACAGGAACAAAGCAGCAAACAGGGTAACAAGAAAATTGAATCTTTAATCAGATAATTAAAGTCCAGATGAGTTCCAAGTATCACTAAACAGGTGGTCATGAGGGCCTACTGTAGCCTCAGCGCTCAGGTTAGAGCAGAAGACTAGCCTGGGTTACATAGTAAAATGCTATCTCAAAGAATCCAGAAGTATCATTAAAGAATAATGAATTAAGACTTTCTCAGTTTTATGAATATAGAAGATGTCAATATGAAGCTGTAGACAAAATTAAACTTTAGGATTAAGAATTCTGTCATATGAATAATTTAAATTACAGACATCTCCCTATATTTCACTGGAAAAATTAACTTCAATTATTAATAAATTTTTCTGGGTTATACCAAAGTTGCTGGGCAAACTCTGATGTATGACCCATTAAACTGATATCCATTGCAGCACATGGGCTTAACTATGTTAAGTATTCATTTTATGCTCAAAGATTTTACAAAATGGAGATGGTAAGATAAAATATTTAGTGATAAAAATATTGGGAAAATGGTCCTTCTGTGATAACAGTCAGGAAGTCATATACACTTAGTCTAAATTTTACCCCAGGACATCATTTCTATGTTGATGAGAAAATGAAAAACTGACTGTAGGCTTGCTAACCCCCCAGAACAAACTGGAGATTCTATGTCAAAAGGCACAAATGGGCCTCTCTGAATTTGTAAATAAGCCCTTCATCTCTTGAAAGAAAATGGTGGGTTCTCCTCAGGACATTAACAAGCATGCCCAACACAATCATGACCGGGGACCAAGTCCTGGTGGCCAAGTCTGCCTAAGACCAAACAATTCCCACAGGATACTCTATGACTATGAGAGTGAAGAGAGCTAACTGTTTAATTATGTGCCGGTGTGTGTTCTCAAGCACATGTGCACGTGGATATGTGCAAGGGAGGGCAGGTGCCCAAAGAGAACGGGGTACAGGATCTCTTGGAGCTGGGGTTACAAATGGCTGGGACATGCCTGACATTCATGCAGAGATCCAAACTTAGGTCCTCTAGAAGAGTAGCAAGGGCTCTTAACTGCCAGATCTCCAGCCCCAAGCACAGTCAATCTTTAAAAGGTCATGAAATGTATCAGTTCTCATAGAATTAAAAGCTGAATGCATATCCCAAACTCTCTACCCTTTAGGCAAACTGCAGAAGCATTGTTTACACTGTATTCTTGAAGCAGGTATTGCAGTTTGAACCTGAAATCCCCAACCCACTCTCAGGATTGGGTTAAATCCTATGCTTATTTCATTCCTATTATGTGATGTTCAGATTAAAAATTTTCAAATGCTGATTATGACGATATTGAGCAAGCTTTAGCATCAATGGATACTAAGAAGGAAGATTAAGTGACAGTGATGTCCTCTATAACTACATAATATATTTGTGAAGAAGTAGAATAAAGCAAAAGTCAATCCTAATGTTACCAAATACACATTTTCTAGATTACAAGCTACAAACTACCCTGCCAAAATATTACTAGCAGCCTGGACCATATTGCACTAAACAGGACTTATAGCAACAAAATCTCTCTCTCTCCTCTCTCTCTCTCCTTTCTCTCTCTCTCTTCTCTCTCTCTCCTCTCTCTCTCTCCTCTCTCTCTCTCCTCTCTCTCTCTCCTCTCCTCTCTCTCCTCTCTCTATCTCTTTCCTTTTTAAACATTATTCTTTATAGATTCTTTGGGAATTTTACATCATGCACCCCAATCCTGCTCACCTCACAGTTCCCTCCATATCTGCCCCTCACCCCTGCAGCATGCCCCCCTCATATAATAAAAACTAAACAAGCAACAAACCACCTCACTCCTCCATCTTTCCAACACCTTTTAGTTATCTTAGTGGCACTGGGAGCTGCAGTGTGTCACGCAGTATAACCACTTGTCCAATCAGTGCCACCCACAAAATGTTCATTTGAATGAGTCATTGGCCTGGGTCAAGTCCTCTGACACACCATCATCACTGGACCCTCACAGAAACTCCTCTCAGATATCCTGCGGCTATGGTTCCACAGGCCCAGTCCCTTCAGGTGCTCCAGCAGGTTCTAGATGGGGTATAAGTTAGGGTGGGCCAACCCAAGGCCCAGGATGTGGGTCTGGGAGGTAGCTGAGCTGGTCAGTCCAGGCCACTGGGTCTGCTCTGGTAAGGAGCAGAGCCAGCTTTCCTAGGCCCATGCCATTGGGGCCAGCTCTCCCATGATGAAAGTTGAGTCCATCTCTCCCAAGTGCAGAGGGGCCAACTCTTCTGCTGCAAGGCCAGCTATTCCAGCTAGTGAGGGTCAGGGATTTCAACATGGATGGTTTCTATTACCCCTTGTGGTAACACAGGCCAGGGACATCATCACAGACCCCAGCTGCAGCAGGAACAGGGACCCAGACATGCTCTTAGCAGCAGCTCAGACATGGACATATGTGACCATGACCTTGGTGGCAGCACAGGCCAACCAGATTAGTATGGCAACTGGCCCTTGGATACCACCATGGCCCCAGGTGGAAGCCCAGGCCTATGATATTGACATGGCCTTCAATGATGTCAGGAGCCATGGACAGCAACACAGACCCTGGCTGTGGTAGGGCCACTGACCCAGACATGCCCCTTGGCAAGAGTCCTGGCCCAGCTGACACCGTGATCTCATGTGACGGTGCAGACCACTAAAATCAGAGTGGACCACAGTGGCATGGTCCTTGGGCACCATCATGGACACAGGTTTTGGCCTAGACCCAGGCTCCTTGTGACCTTTGGTAGCACACAGGCCACAGACATCAACACAGACCCTAGCTGTGGTAGGATCACAGATCCAAACCTGTCTCTTGATTTCCAGAGAATGAAACTTCACTATATTTGTCTTTTTCTGCTCTTCTTTGCCTGTTTGAACAGATGGCTGGTGTGTGTGTGTGTGTGTGTCTGTGTGTGTGTGTCTGTGTGTGTGTGTGTGTCTGTGTCTGTGTCTGTGTGTGTGTGTGTGTGTGTGTGTGTGTGTGTGAGTGTGTGTGTGTGTGTGTGTGTGTAAGCCAGAGGCTGACTTTGAGTATCTTTCTTGATCACTCTACTTAAAGGCACAGCATCTCAGTTCAGCTAATCTACTGCCCACTTGTTCCATGGACCCTCTGCCACTGTCTTTCAAGTTCTGGAGCTACAAGTGGGTCACCATATCCACCTGGCATTTAGACAGGTCCTCACACTTGCTAAGCAAGGGCTTTCCAGCTGAGCAGCCTCCCCAGCACCAGAGGGACTCTTCAGGCAGCCCTAGCTGAAACTGCTCCAGACAGCTGACTTTAGCTCAGGCATCACCATGTAGGAAGGTCGTGGGCTTTGAGTTTATAGAGAAATGGTGGGAATATGTTTACTGTTCTGTCTGAACTGCTTTAAGATATTGGCCAAGCTTCCACTCTTTTTAGGAATTTTTTTCTTTTTTCTTTAAATTAGAAACAAGCTTGTTTTTTCTTTAAATTAGAAACAAGATGTCAATCACAGTTCCCTCTTCTTCCCCTCCTCCTCTGTCCCCCACCGACCCCCTCTCCCATCCCTTTTTTTCCCCAGGGAGGGTGGGGACTTCCATGGGGGATCTTCAAAGTCTGCCATCTCTTTTGGAGCAGAGCCTAGGCCCTCCCCTGTGTGTCTAGGCTGAGAGCGTATCCCTCTATGTGGAGTAGGCTCCCAAAGTCCACTCGTGTAGTAGGTATAAATACTGATCCACTACCAGAAGGAATTATTCCTTTTCTTTCTTGAGATTATAATATATTTACATCATCCTCCATTCCCTTTCCTCCCTCTAAAGCCTCCCATTTGTGCTCCTCACTGTTTCTCAAATTGATGACCTCTTCTTTTCATTAATTGCTATTACAACATATATCTATAATTAATACATACAACCAGCTAAATTTGTATAATGCTGTTTATATCTGTATGTATATTTTCAGGGTGATCATTGGTATTGGATAACCATTTTGTGTGCTCTTCCCTAGGAAAACTGTTAAATTTCTCATTGGTTAATAATGCAGGTCTTATTATAAGGCAGGTTTTGACAAGCTTCTACTCTTGAGATTTGTTCCTTCATCTATATAGTGAAGGAAAAGAAAAAAGGCTTTAATAAAAAATTTAAATAATAACATCCATTAAAATAAGTACATGAATGACAGACGGACCCCCATCCATCTTCACTTTTCATGTGGCACCATCACAAATACACATTACTGATTCCTTGAAAGATTCTGATAACTGAAGGAGCATTTAATAGTTTGGGGGGGGCAATTTTCAAGTAAAAAAAAATGAATGTATTTTACCTTCTGTTAAAGACATAGTGGATTTTTTTCAATGTAAAAATCTTATTAGGCAATATATAACTGATTTTATGGTGAAAACATGTTTATTAGGTTTTGTTTATGCTATATTTCACATATTCTTTAGATTCGTGGATATTTTTTTAATTTCTAGTTTTTGGTGCCAAATAATAAGAAGCCTTATATATGTAATACATCTGTTCTGTTTGGCTCATGGGTAACCAGTCTTGATTACTGGCTCATAATGTAATGAAAGCCTGTTTTCCAATGAAATCTTGAAATTTGCAGGAAAATGATGGAACTCGAAGAAACCATTCTGAGCGAGGTAACCCAGTCACAAAAAGACAAACATGATATGTACTCACTCATATGTGGATTTTAGGCATAGAGTAAAGGATTACCAGCCTACAATTCACACTACCAGAGAAACTAGTAAACCAGGAGGACCCTAAAGAGACAAACATTGTCCTCTGGAGAAGAGGAAAGGGTCAAGATCCCCTGAGCAAATTGAGAGCATGGGAAGAGGGGGGAGGGAGCTACAAGAATGAGAAGGGGAGAAGAGGAAGGATGCAGAGGTCATGAGGGAGCAGAAAGGCTGAGTCAGGTGAAGAACAGAAGAAAGGGTTTGGGATAGGTAGGGTTTTAGTTGGGGGAGTGGTAGGGAAGGATGGGAGGGAGAAGGGAACTGGGATTGTCATGTAAATCAATCTTGTTTCTAATTCAAATAAAAAATGATAAAAAAAAAACAAAGCCTGTTTTCAATACAAATATTTTACCTTGTCTATCTCATGTGATTAGAGGAACTCAAAAATACCTGGTTAAGGGCTAAGGCCTTAGCCAAAAACACAAAATGTTTTTGGAATAACAGGATAGAAATAAAAGATTCACAGCTGCTTATAAAGATAAAGACAATACTATAAACTGAGAGAGAGAGAAAGAGAGAGAGAGAGAGAGAGAGAGAGAGAGAGAGAGAGAGAGACAAGCAAATGAGAGCAGTCAGGCAATTATCACGAATCAAACATGGAGACTTGACCTTTACACAGCTCCACATCCCAATCCCCCAAATCAGCCCGTGTTTAACTTGCTTTGAACATCTTTCTTTGGGATCAGTTGTAAATTTTTTTTCATGAAGGCTTAGCAAAGAGTGTTAGGGGATGAGTAACCTACAATCTCACAAATCTGAAAATAATCCTATGTAAAGCGCACTCATTCTTCAATAAAGTGACCCTGCATTTTTAACTGTCCCTATGCACTGGTCTATTCTAACATTATTTAAAAAGCAGAGGACCTGGGCTGGCAGGATGGCTCAATGGGTAGAATGATTATTATGTAAGCATAAGTACTTGAGTTTAAATTCCCCAGAAGCCCAGAAGTCACAAAAAAAAAAAAAAAAAAAAAAAAAAAAAAAAAAAAAAAAAACAAACATGGGAGGGGGGGGGACAAATAAAATCCCCAGTACTAGGAAGTAGAGAAAGAGGAGTCCTAGGAGCTTGCTGGCCAGCCAGTTTTGAAAACCAGAAAGCTCCAGATTGAGATACCCTGTCTAGAACGAAAAATGGTGGGAAAGCCCCGATGTCCAACCTCAGCTCTACACATGCCTTCCTAAGCACTACATATAACATGCAATAATAAGTAAACAAACGGAGAGCGGGAACCCAGCCCCAGGATCCAGAGGCATTCAGGCAGAGATGGAAGTAACAAACAGACTGCAAAGGAAGACTAGAGGTATTTTGCTTCCCCTCTAAAAATTCAACAGAAAGAAGGTAATGATTTAAAACACTACATAAAAGAAACCAATAAAGACACAAAAAGATTATCTTATCTGTTAAGTCTAGTAAGTCTCTGCAACTAGGAAACACCATCACAAGCAGGATTTAAATCAAATTTCTACACTGCCCAAAATGTCAGAGATTTAAAATTAAATAATATTTCTCTTCCACTTAGGACACTCTCTTCTACCCTTATCCCAGCCTCTACCACCCATGTTTTAAAACAGCATGCATGGGCCCAGCAAGGAAGGCACTTGCTGCAAAACTCTACACCCTGAGTTTGATCCCCAGGACCCAATATAGTGAAAGGAGCGAACTGGTGCCTCCAAGTTGTCTTCCACACGCATGAGCACAAGCACAAACAAAATAATGAAGAGTGCTCCTTAAAATATGCAAAGGGACAGTGTAAAACCCTGCCAGTGGCAGCCACACCTGCAGGAGCTTCAAGGAGAGACAGCCTGGCTCTGAGATGCTCATTAAAAGAATGCCTTCAATATGGCAGAAGGCAAAAATCCCTTGAAACCTTTGTAAACACAATTAAAATGAAACCTGGTTACTTTAAAAATTCCTGAAGGAAAACAGTGCTCAATGTATTGCCATACCTCTTTTGATTCATAAGGAGCTCTCTGTGGAGGTCTTGATGGTTTCGGGATGTTTTGACAGGGTTGATTAGCTTCTGGGGCCTAATTAGTTCAGGATTGTCATCTTCTATGTAGTCTGGCTCGGCCATGATATTTCTTGGACTGAGATAGGAGTCTTTGGGGTCAGTTTCCTCAAGCAGGCTATCTGAAACACAAAGAGAAGGTACATTTATTTGCAGCCTCTTCTGTCAACACTTCCTTCACTGATGCTCAGTCTCTAAGAGCTGTGTCCAGTCTGTCACACTAGGACACGCTGTCCTCCAGTATCTACTTCAGAGGCATGCTTTCCTCCCATGTCTACTTCATGCACATTACAAATTGATGCTCCTAAGGATTAGAAAGCAACAGGGCAAAATAAGACCTCACTATTGTAACCTCACTCCTGTCCATGCAAACCACACTCGGAGTTCTAGTCACATAGGGCACCTCCTGCCACTGCATCTCAAAGGCAACATCACAAGAAATACTTGGGTACCACCAGCTCTTTCCTCAACCTCAGCAAACGAATTTGCACTACCCAAGTATGCATGGAGAAAAAAACTTCTAGCACTCACATGGATAACAGGCAGTCTGTTCCCTTCTATCCACTCATCTATTCTCAGGGCTACAACTGAGAGAGAGCAAAGAAAGGGAAGGTGGGTGACCTGGCAGCAAGATCCCTTTGGGGACATATAGAGAACATGTCCCTGGAAAACAACAGAACAATATGCTGACATTCTTGGGGAGAGACACTTAACCCTTCTGAGACTCCCTCCCTGGCTCTCTCTGGGTCTTTCTGGAACTGTCCACTCTATGACCCCAGTGTTTGCACCCCCCTTCATGGAGAAACTCTCCCAGAAAGCAAGGCATCTGTCTCCTTTCTTAGACACCTGTAACTAACCAGGACTGTGATGCCTGAGAATGTGACTACTATTTCAAGACAGAAGAAAAGTCCCACTTGGGGGATGGAGCAACAGGAGCCAGACTGACTGCATGGCAGAAGCCAGGCAGGGCTGGTGCTAGTGAATGACTGCCATGCATACCAAGATGCATTCCTTGGTGCTGACCCCATGCCTGCTCCCTGACCTCAGAACAAACCAGATGAATATTTCATAATAATTAACAGGAGATTTGTACTTGCCTGTCCCAGTTCAGTGATTTTGACTTTCAAACTCAAAATCAGATAAGGGCCTGACTACAACAAAGTATTCCAACCTTGCCTTCTGTGGAAAGCCCACGGTTACTACTACTAAACCTGGTTACTTCCTCACTTACTAGAAAGGTCAGAGATCTACTGAGTCAGAGAACAGGGGAATGTGTGGGAGGAAGAGCCACACCTAAATGGTTTAGACTCCAGCTGTCACCTTCCTGATACACACACCACAACAAACATCCGGATACAGGGTAATCACAGGTTTCTGTCTATTGTCTGCAAGGACAAGGACCATCTCTCCTCCAGAGCTAATCCCCACCCCTCCAGGAACATGGAAATGTTGGGTTAACATTGAATTATGAAGTCCGCACTAACTGGAATGCTAAGAGTTCCTCCATGAATAAGCTCTTAGTCCAATGCCAGCTTCTACCCATGAAAGACACCCACCTCAGGTGATGACAGGTGGGCTGGGGCTAAGTGGAGGTGGAGGGAGAAGAGAAAGCAGGGCATCTATCCATGAATTCCAGCACAGACACGGGGAAAGAGCAAACATATATGCAGCGACAATCAAAGCAGGAATCCAAGTTTCAGTTATCAGTGATGTCTCCCTGAACTCCTGAGCTGGATACTAAGCTTCGAAGCCGAAACTAGGCAAAGTGACAGCCAACAACTACCAGCACCTTAAGGATAGCATGTGCAGGTGGAGGGCCACATGTGACCCCAGCAACAACCCTAGAGATAAAAGATTCAGACTCTTCAGCAATCAGAGAAACAAAATTTCATAACATGCTGGTGCTTATACTGATAATGGCATAATCTAAAAATAAATTGCAAGGCCACTAATCTCAAAACCTAGGTTTGCCAAACTGCAATACCTAATGTTTGTTTTAAAAAGTGCTGTAAAAAATTTTGAAAACTAACATGAAAATAAACATATTAGACACGCAAAGAATAAGCCAACTAAAAGAAAAAATAGCTGTAGCTGCATCGTTTTAAATATTTGAGGTAACACTGCATGAAATATTAAGGCTCAAAGCTACCAAATGAGGAACGCATAGAAGAGAACCCACACATTGCCTAGATGTTGCTAATATCAGACCTGCAACCTTAACCAAAAGGAGAAATACAAACCTTGTACATAGGGAGCGAGGGATCTCATCATAGCCAACCTGACTTTAGCACTGCTGCTCCCGGGCAAAATGTGACTCTTTGCTTGAAATCTCAAATGCACAAGGCACAGCTCTACAGTCCCTAAAGAGCCCAGAGCAGATTCATTCTAGTTAATCAGTAGACAAAGCAGGCCACCTGCTTCCATAAAAGGACCTGCTTCTCTACTTCAAGCCATGACATCCATTCAATGCAGGAGTGACTCCAAAGGTCAAAGTTCCAGAGGGAGGGAGGGTTGGGGACAGGCTGAAGGCAGACAAGGAAAGAATGGGGTAGCCCTTAACTCCAGGTGAGAGGAGACTTGGACCAGGATGCTACAGCACAAGTAGGTGGCCATCCTAAGTGTTTATGAATTCTCTGTTAGACTTTAGCTTCATGGAAGGCCTCCTCTCTGACACTAACAGAGTGGTGAGATGTTAAGTAGGGCCTCCTACTAATCAGACAAGACCCTGGGGGCAGTGGGGTGGGGCTCCATGAGTTCTCTAACCAGAGCAAACACTGTCTTTAATTTTCTCTGTCTTGGAGTAGGGGAGTAGGCACAGGAGCCCCCCACCCCAAGTCCCATGTATAGACTCTGGTCTTCTGTGGCCCAAGCAGTAGGCGTGTGCAACGCACCTCCTGCACACTGCTGTAAAGGTGTTGGGAAAAGGGGTGAAATGGCCCGAGGCAGCTTCTCCCTGTGCCCTCATTTCTGTACCACAAGGTGGCTGGTGCAGCACCTGGGAACTAGATAGGGCCACTTTTCCTTGGCTTTCCACCTGGAGCCATGAGGGCAAAGAAGCAGCCATATCTATGGCTTTCCTACTGGCTCTCTCATCTGTCAGCCATCCTGTTCACAGTTACTCAAGACCAACAACAGAATTCTGATCATGTGGCCCGTGCTCTGACTGAACTGGCATAAACACTATGCATCTTCACTCTCCTTGGCCTTCCTCCACCTTCCTCCACGTGAGGCCTTGGCCACTGCTGCTCCCTCTACTCAGACATGATTGCCCTTTTCTGTTCCATCCACCAATCCTTACAGCAAGCCAAATCTCACCCATCCTCTCAGATGCAGAGATATGTCATGTCTTCCGGGAAGCTTCTCCTAATTTCCTGACTGTAATTAAACTCTGGCCTCCAACCACTATAGAATCATCTTTTCTCTATTTTTCTATTATGCATCAATTGTGCATTTCAGAATATCTACATGTAACTTTCCATCCCTTTGTTGCAAAGACTCTCTTCAGCCACTTTGGATTTGTTCTATGGATGTTACTTAAAAGAAGTAACCAAATCAGGGGTAAACTACCAGTAGAGGGAGCCCCTGCGCAATTTGATTTCCTTGAACTCTTGGAACTGTGCTCAAAGTAGGGTGGGAGGCCAGTGGGGGTTCTTCACTGAATATCAAGCAACCAAGAAAGCTGAGAGTAAAGATGTAACAGAAAATCTAAAAGTAAGGGGGATATTATCCTTATATGAAGTATCTCTTCTAGAAATTAACACAAGATACTGATACTAGTGGCCTTTTTTATGTTGTCACTGCTGCTGTTTTGTCTACCAAATATCAAGTCAAGGAAAGAAAAATCAGTGCTGGCTCAACTAAGGAGAAACACAGTGGGTTGAGATCTTAGACAAGGCTTAATGTCCTTGACTTCAGTTCCCTGCCTGTCTTTGAAAATGGAAGGAATAATGTAAAAGTAGCCTGTTATTACCTAGGCACCCTCATTAATCCCTGCTGTGAATATGAGTCCTTAAGTTGGAGTTATTACTAGCCAAGTATAGCCCACACCATTACTTACTTTTTCTAGAGGTGTAACTCATTTCTTTTGGCCATATTTCCTTCCAAACCATGAATTCAAATAAATAATGCACACTGGTAACAATCAGTGAGTATATGTGGATACACAGGGGTGTGTATAGTTGTTCGTGCTCTGTGTGTGTGTGTGTGTGTGTGTGTGTGTGTGTGTGTGTGTGTGTGTGTGGTGAATGACATCTGTGTGTGGAGCACAAAGGATAACCTCAGGAGTCATTCCTCAGGATCTCTTCACCTTGTTTTGATACAGGGTCTTTCACACAGGACTCACCAATAAGGCTTGGCTAACTAGCTAATGAGCCCCAGAGATTGCCCTATCTCTACCCACACTGCTGGAGTCTCAGGGACTGACCTGTCTCTACCTCTCTCCCTTGCTAGGGTTATTTGCACACACCACTATACCCAACATATGTGTGCTGGGGATCACACTCAGGTCACACACTTATGCTTGACAGTAAGCATTTAACTACCAAGTGCTCTTCCCAGCCCAACATTCAGTAGTTCTAAGACCACCATGCTTACAAACACTGCATCCTGGTAGCTCCAGACAGTGTCTTCCCGAGTTAAAATAATGATTCCCACTAAACACTTGCCCCATGGACCTAAGAGAACGAACACTTATTGTGGCTGAGCTTCACTATCAGGCCATTCTGGTTCCATCTTTGCACATCTGTACACAAAACAGATACAATGCAAAGACTAACCTTTCATAATTGAAAATTAAATTTACAGATTATGACAATTTTGATTTGCCTAAATATAAAAAAATCTGATTCTATCTGGAAGCCTTAAGACTTGAATTCTGGTTTAAGGAGCTACCTGTTTCGTGGCAATGCATATACCAGATGCACACACATACAGCAGGGCACACCAGAGCCAATCAACACCAAGCAACTGAACTTTTGAACCGCAACAACTACTCCCGGAATGCTAAAAGTATCCTTAGGCATTCTTTCCGATAATCTAGTCTCCAAACTGGCTCTAGAAGATTCTGGCAAATGCTAGTAACTCTGAGAAATCCAAGATACTTAAGACTTCAGACTAGCAAAAT